CTCGCGGACATCGAGCCTCGCCCTCCCGCCGTAAGACGACGGATTATCAGACGCACGCACGCGCGCATGTATATTCAGGAGAGCCCGAGTGCTTTGTACCCGTCGGCTCGCCGGCGTTTGATGTCGCGCTCTTCACGTGGACCTCGTGGGGGCGACACGCGCGCCGGCGCCGTCGGGCTAATTGCCGCGGCCGCTCTCGTCGGCTCCGTCGACCGGAAACTGGGGGGATCGTCGCGAGTCTCTCGCACGACCGCTCTCCCCCCCCCATCCACCCTATCATACTACCCCTTTACATACCACCCCACTGACTCATCGATCTCAATCTTGGCTTATTACGCTCACGTGTCTGCCGCTCTTTCCTCGCTACGTTCGGATGTCGAATCGCTTTCCTGGCCTCGTTAAGTCGACAACGCTGGCGGTTCCTTAACCTTTGCCACTCGCCTACTCTCCTACGTAATCTTTACAACGAGCGACTGGACTATATTAATTAGACTAGAACGATCGATAAATCGATCATGCAACTGAAAGAAAATGCTCGTTCCTATTACTTATTTGTTCAATTAACCACAGAATTGTTATTTATATTCAAATTGTCAATATTTTTAATTACTTTCATACTTTCACCGAGCTTCTGCAAATAGCTCTCAATTGATAAATAGATGTTCCATCTCCCATTAACCGCCATTGTGCATAATAATCTTGTGCCCCGACCGTTTACGTACGTATTATATTGATTATTGCTCGTGTTCCCGCGATCATCGGCCTTATGAGGATTTAATCGGTCTCACGCGTAGCACCGAATGGCATTTAATAATATTTCCCGTTATCTCCTACCTTCACAAGGCCAACTTTATCCTCGCAGTAATTACTTAATTTATAATAGCGAGAGCACCTCAAAAAAATATTACTATTGCAGATGTGAAAATACAAAAATGGCAAAAAATACACATGGCTGGACGATACGCTTGCTGAGTCGCGCCATCGAATAAACGATCGTATTAATTATATTAATTGTATGAACAATATCACTATTATTATCTTAAACAGTTACCACCTTTGTAACAGTACATGTCCGTATCGACTTTCCCATAACAATTTCATCACCGAAACATTAGATCTACTTCTCAGCACACGCAGGATAAGAATCGGTACATAATAGAGATATTGAATTGACAAATTTTCCATTCCTCTGCTTGAAATTGTTTATATAGCCACTAACTCTTTATCTCACTGAAACTCTTGGGCTTCCACGTGAGCAGTAGAGACCTCTGGATATTGACAAACGGCAATTATCTCTCTTGGAGTGCACTGCTTACCAACGAATGAAGAATATCACGGACACATATCGTCTCCGACGGCCGCTGCCCCTTTCCCATTGAATTGGCAATCGCCGTTAGGGTTGTGCTCGCGCAACAGAGTCCATACAGCGCATCCGCAGGAATTCCTGAGGGTCAAGCCTGTGATGGGCGTAAGGGGAAGCAGCCGTCCACGGAGTGGGAGCCCTCGGGTAATAGGGCGGTGGTAGCCACGGGCGGCAAGACGGAAGGGGAGATAAAGCTCAATTATGCCGATTGACTAGTCTCGTAAGGGGGTGATAGTGCGAGAAGGAGTGCTGCCGACCGACAACGACGACAGCGACGGCGACGGCGGCGGAGTGACAGAGAGAGAGAGAGAGAGAGAGAGAGAATGAGAGAGAATGAGAGAGATTGAAAGAGAGAGAGAGAGAGAGAGAGAGGGAGAGAGAGAACTTGAAAGAGAAAAAGATTGAAAGAGAGAGAGAGAGAGAGAAAAATTGAAAGAGAGAGATTGAAAGAGAGGGAGAGAGAAAAATTGAAAGAGAAAGAGAGTTCACCTCACAAACACTGCCACCGCCACCGCCGCCGCCACCGCTTCCACCGCCGTCACTACCGCCACCACCGCCGCGCCGCCGCCGCCGCCGCCGCCGCCGCCGCCGCCGCCGCCGCCGCCGCCGCCGCCGCCGCCGCCGCCGCCGCCGCCGCCGCCGCCGCCGCCGCCGCCGCCGCCGCCGCCGCCGCCGCCGCCGCCGCCACCGCCACCGCCGCCACTACCGCCGACGCCGACGCCGCCACCGTCATCGCCGTTGGAGTGGGGCAGCCGGGGCGAGGGAGAGAGAACGACGGAGGCCTTGCTCCTCCCACCGAATCACGTCACGCCATACGCTGAGCGAGGACTGCCCGCCTGCCCGTCCACTCGTCCTCCGAGGGTTATTCCATCCCCTAACGACCGACCACTCATTAATCGGCCCGACGACGCTTCCGCCCCTATCCGTTCCTCTCTCTCTCTCTCTCTCTCTCTCTCTCTTTCAATCTCTCGCTCTCTCGCTCTCTGTCTGTCTGTCTGCCTATCTATCTTTCTTTCTTTTCCAACCATCGGCGAGTCTTATCTCGCACTCTCAAATAATAACGTCACCGGGCGTTTCCACGAAAACCAATTCCCTGAATACGGATTCTGCCTTATAGATCGACAGAAACTTTTTTCTTCTACATTGTTTTTTTTTTCTTAATTTTTGTCGGTCGAGAACGCTTATCTTATCGAGCTTTCTTGAACATTATAGGTAGATAATAGCTTCGAGAAACCTGTTGTGTGTACATGAAATAAGGTATGGTTATGGCACTCTCGGCTAACCTTCTCTCTATTTTTAATAAGAAATTCTATTCCACTATTTTGACATGAAATTGGAAAGCAAATAGGATGGGAATAATTAGCCATAAGGATACTTATTACTTCCATTAAACAAATATGTTTACAATAACGATTGTGTAAGAGGCTTAACGTTTCTCAAGACTTCAATGACGTGCACGTCGACGCTCTACTTCCCTTCGCGTTTCTGGAATGCTCTACACCTTGGAGCAGCGAGAAAATGATATAAAAATGACTAAAATGGTATAAAAAAAAATCGTATGTCGACGCAAGCGAGCATGGAGCTTGGCGCAAGGTGAAAAGGCCGTCGTCTCTCAGTGTCTGCGATAAGTGAGCCTCACTTCCCCCCCATCTTACAGCCGGGGTAGCTATCCGGGAGAAGCGGCAGCGGCGCTGGTGGGGGGTTGCTTTCCTGCGACCGTCTCCGCGACTCTCCTATGGGAGAGAGCGGGGAGCTCTCGTTCTTCATAGAATTCACGGGGCCGCGGTACCCACGACGCATCTCACGGCCTTCAGTCACACGCGACTCCTCGACAACCGGCTTGCTCCTCCGATCCACGCACCCCCGAGACCAAGGGAAAATCGCGGAAAAGGCGAGCAAGGAAGGGGAGCCAGGTCCTCAAGAGTAGTAGGAAGAGGAGATCGCGCTCGAGTAAGGGGGAGAGGCCAAAAGAGAGAGAGAGAGAGAGAGAGAGAGAGAGAGAGAGAGGGAGAGATTGAGGAGGGGGCGAAGCGAGAGAGATAGGCAGACAGACAGACAGAAAGAGAGGGAGAGAGAACGCGCGCGCGCAAGTGTAAGCGAGTGTGAGCAAGAGAGTGAGAGAGAAGGCGGGGTTGTTGTAAGTGTCGGAGAAGGAGGTGGAGGAAGAGGTGGAGGAGGAGGAGGAAATTGAGGAGGAGGTGGAGGAGGAGGTGGAGGAGAAAGAGGAGGAGGATGAGAAGAAGAAGCACCGCTCTCCTTCGTCTCTCTCGCGCTCTCTCTCTCTCTCTCTCGCATACACACACACTCTCTCGCTCTCTCACTCTCACATCTCTCTCACACTGCCTCTGTCTGTCTCTCTGTTTCTCTCACTCCCACGGCCCCCGAGGAAAAAGGAGTAGGAGGACCCTGAAGGCGACCTTTTTTACTCTCGGCCGACACTCGGGCGCGCGCGTACATACAGGAAGTACCGGGGGAAAAGCGACAGTCGCGGACTTGCTTCCGCACCGGAGATCGAGAGAGGCGCCGGTAACAGCGAGGATGAGCGCCAGTTGGCTCCCGTCGAGGAAGGACAGGTCCCCGACGCCGGTGGGCGGCTTTATTCACGGCCGAGGTGCCTGGCCGGCAGTCGAGCGCCGCTCCCCGCGATAATAATGCACCCGGCACTCGCGGGCGGCCAGCGGACCTCGAAGCACGTGTGCAGCGGTGGTGGGGTAAGCCCAGACGATCCTCCGCTATCCTGAGCTCCGCAGTACCGACGAGGCGAGACCAAGGCGGGACCCAGAGCGAGCAGCAGCTCCGCATCGCAGCCCCTCTCGCGGCCACCAGTCGCGGGCGGCTCGCCCCCGTCAGGAGGAAGGCGCAGCCCGGGCTCCCTCTACACCCCTCTCCCCTCTACCAGCGATCCACGTAGCCGTCCCTATCTGGCGCTCTAACCGACCACGGCGCGGTACTCGCGCGCGCGTCCTGACCGGCGCGTGTCGGGAGCCGCCACTCGTGTGCCCCCGGTGAAAGATACGTGTGCCCGTGCTCACGAACAACGTGGTGTACGTGTGTGCAAGGGTGGTTGATCGGGTGGTTGTGCGTGGGTGCGTGTGCGTGTGTGCGTGTTATTTGGAACGGAGACCGTGGCCCGGTGCCAAGGACAAGGTACCCAGAGTGACAACTGGAGGTACGGAGGCCACAAACGGGGTCGAGAAGGAAGAGGAAGAGGAAGAAGAAGAAGCAGCGGAAGAGAAAGAGGAAGAAGGAGAGAAGGAGGGGGAGGAGGTGGAGGAGGAGGAGAAGGAGGAGGTGGTGGAGCAGGAGGAGGAGGAGGAGGAGGAGGAGAAGGAGGAGGAGGAGGAGGAGCAGCAACAGCAGCAGCAACAACAACAACAACAACAACAACAACAGCAGCAACAACAACAGCAGCAGGAAGAGTCGGAAGAGAAGAAGGAGCAGGAGGTGGAGGAGGTAGTAGTGGTGAAGCAGGAGGAGCTACGGAAGGAGGAGGAGGAGGAGGAGGAGGGGGGGGGGGAGGGTCGGAAGAGAAGAAGGAGCAGGAGGTGGAGGAGGTAGTAGTGGTGAAGCAGGAGGAGCTACGGAAGGAGGAGGAGGAGGAGGAGGAGGAGGGGGAGGAGGAGGAGGAGGCGGAGGAGAAGAAGAGAGGTCGAGGCGATGAAAGGATGCCTTCGTCTAGACGACGAGGAGAGGACGTCCAGGAAGGGCAGCAGCTTCCGAGGACGATAGCCTTTAGGCTCGGCGTCGCGCTCGCTCTGCTGCTCATTCTCCTCGATCATTGTCGGTAAGATTGATAAGCCGAGAGTAAGATGAGATATCGGCCGATAAGGCTTAGGAGGGCCAATAATTAATGCAAACGCGCTCGAATCCACAACGGGCCGAACGTTCAAGCGACTCTACCCGGCTAATCGAGCCCATCACCGCTGGCACAGCTTTGCCCAACCAATTTTGTCCTACTCGCTGTTGTTCAACTTTTTCTCTTCCATCGTGACACTTTCCCTTTAATCACGCTCTCTTTGCATCTGTCATCTGCCCCGATCGTTGTCAGTCTCCTGCTTCGATCGCTAAACTGATAAATCAAGACAATCATTTGATTTTCCCCACGCCGTACTACGATCTGCGATCTAAACCAACTGCCAGCTATTTAAAGCATTGCAATGACTTGAAATTTTAATTATTATTTATCTGTAAATAGTTTTATATTTTCGTTTACATTAAATAACAGCTAAAGCTCTACAAATGCATATTATTTTTCACATTCCATAAGTAATGTCACAATTATGCATTAATTACACAATTAAGGCCACGTAAATCAAGAATATAAAATGTATTCGATAATTAGGGCCATTAACGTAGAAAATAATGTGATTGATCCGATCACCGGGTATTTTCAGTATTTTAAAATGATTTTTCAAAAATACAATACTTAATGCTTGAGTTTCTGAATTTCAAATGCACTTATGGCTGTTAATTTTTGTACAGAATTATTTTAAGCGTTTGTAGTTTTACCATAGTTTTAATATTTTAAATTTCTTGATATTGGTGATTAATAAAAAAAAAAAAAAAAAATTCTAATTACTATCTTTGTATTTATGTTATATTTATGAACTGCTTATTTTAATTATTTTAATTTCCATATCTTGAAAATCATATATTTGAACAATTACCTACACTCACTGTTTAATATTAAAATATTTCAAAATAATTAAAAATAAATTATTTATCATCCATATTGTATTATATTTTTATTTAAATTAAAACGCATTAACTTTTAAAAGCAATAGTGTTATAACAATAATATATTAAAGCAATAATATAAAATTTTTTTTAACATTATTTTTTATAAGTTTTTATGATAAATGTATATACATTTATACATTTTAAATTTAGATTTAACTTAACATCTAATCATTAAAGGTGATACTAAATATTAACAAATTTTGCACGGCTACAGTTTAATATTTTAATCCTTCATTTACAGCTTAATAAATGTGCATATAAAAGTAATGAAACTTTTATAATACTTCGTTAGATATATTATGACGATTATTAAATGAAATTGAAAACCCAATTAAATGAATGAGAGTAGTATTTTTATAAAATCATTACTGTCATTTTTTTTATTTCTAAGCGTAAATTTATAAATATAATCCATTTGTTAGACTTTAGCGGAAACGCAGGTTTTTTTAGCTCACTGTCATATAAAAAAAATGTTAAGAAATCAGTATTCCTAAAGAAAATCCAGAGACTCGGTTTTTTTATTACGTTTAATACATTGATGATACGAAAATGTTATTAAACAAAGCCGAACCATTGACAGAGAAAAATTATAGTTGCATAAACATATTAAGAAAGCTTTTAAATAACATATTGCGATAGAGATGAGTAAAAAATCCCGATAGCGCAGGAGGGATGGATTAAGAGAGAAAGAGAGCACTGGGAGTAAGGAATAAAGTTTCCAGGTTGGCATAATACAGACGTCAAAACGTCACTTTCGTTAGCTTTGTTCATCCAGGACGATGAAACCGTGCAAATCGCTAAGTCGCTCTCTTCTCGCTCGACGTGCTGC